ATTGTATTTTTATTAGTAATTTATTGTATTTTCATTATCAATATATTTTCAATAATTTTGTAATTTTGGTACAAATTTTCAATAATTGTTGGTGATTAAACTATTGTTATTTATTAGAGATTAGAGTATTAATTTAGTTAAAATTAGGAGTATTCGTGGGTTGGTTTGGTTTGGTTGAAAGTTGCTTGGCCAACCAAATCAACCTGGTCAAGGTGGGGAATTGGTCACTCGAAACTGACCGACCATTTGTGAAGACAACCACTTGTGTTGTATTGATTTGGGTCGATTTTTTGTTTGGTCAGTCAGTTCAAACAATTTGAACTAAAAAAGTTAAATTTAACTCAACCAAAGCGAAATTGATCCAACCTGGTTAGGTTGGGAAATTATTGGACCAAAGCTGACCAGAAATAGAAAATCGACCAACTCGGATCAAGTTGATAAGGTTGGTCAGTTTCATTAGTTGGATGAACAACCTTAGCTTAAACTAATTATTATTATTTTTGTATTTTAAAAAATTTATTTATAGTAGTATATAAAATATAAAAAATTATTAATTATTTAAAAAGTTAAAAATATAAAACATACTTTTATGTGTTTCTATTGTTTTTCTTTCATTTAACAAATCCCATGCATCTCACGAGCCCCCCTAGTATTATAATATAATGGGAAAATTCTCGATTAGTACCCTATACTTTGGGCCTAGTGCCACTTTGTTCCCCAAACTTTGAAATGTGACAATTTAGTACCCGAACTTTCAAAATGTGCCAATCTAGTGCATGTCGCTAACCAGCCATTAAATGTCATGTGAAAGGCTACAAACTTTTTTTTTTTTTTACATTTTGATTTATTTAATTTTTCTCCTAAGAAAAACTAAAATACTTAACTTTCCTTTGAGAACAAATTGAAAAACTAAAAAAATCTAACAAAGAAATGAAAAAAATATTTACCAAGATACAAAATGAACAACAAATTGAAAAAAAAACATAGGAACTTTATTCCATTTAAAATATAAAAAATTACATTGTTGAAAAATAACAAATGATTTAAATAAAATTGAAAAAATCATCCCATCTCCTTGACTTTAATCATCTGCTTCATCAGGTGTAGTAGTGTCATGCCCTCCTTTGCCTTATAATTTATCCTCAACATTCAACAAATCTTTAAAGTAGATGTCTTTTTCTCATTTCTCATGGAAGAGCAAATGTTTGCCTAAGTGGCTAGTACCACCCTTGGTACTAAAGCTAAAATCAATCCTATATTTTTGGTAAACGACTCTTTTTCTTATGCCCCCAACCCCCTTTATTTTAAATATTTTGCAAATCAGGCTAGTGAACTTAATGTTGGGGAATTGGTTTCTAAAAGAGGAGCCAACCATTTTTTTAATTCTAAAAGATGAAAATTAATTTAATTGCACTTACTCGGATGACCAGATTACCAATTCAAAATCTCAACTTGATTTCAACAATTGAAGCTTCAAAGCCTCCTAAATCGCTAAGAGAATATGAGAATTTAGAAGATAATTACTAAATTAGTGTGATGAGAATGGTGGATGATATGGCTATTTATAAGAATTTAAAATAATTTAATTGCCCAAAATACCCTAAAAACTAGTCGTTTTTTAGTTGTTGGGAGGGGTAGTTTGGTTACTGTAAAGCCATTTATCACTTTACCCAAATGCCTCTAAAGTCCCAACTAGATGTTATATAGGATGTAGTTGCTGGAGGTGCATTATTGTCTTTTTCTTTGCCCCCCAAAGCCAAAATACATAAATACCCCCTTATAGGCTTATAGTGGTGATTGAGGGGGTATTTCTGTAAAAACCCCCTAAAAAGTTGAAACTAGCCGTTTGGAGGGGGTCCCCAAGGGCCCCAATGCCTAATTTCTCGAGCAGGCTACACTCGGCCCATTGCGGGCCCACGGGCCATGCCATGTTGCGTGTTGTGCCATGTGTTGGGCCATGACAGCATGACACAATCGTGTTGTATCGTCCGGCCCACAGACCTGAAACCCCCGACCTAGCATAGCCCGCACGATCGTGTTAGGACACGTGCCAAGCCGTGGGCAACACGACCCAATTTACGCCTCTAGGGAATGGTAATGATCCGGTTCCTACAAAAACCAAATGACTCCCCTCAAATCCCCAACTAACGAATGTGACAAGTGTTGAAACCCTAACGGGTTTAGTGTTGTTCACCATTGCTTTGGTTCAATCTTAATTCATGAGGAAGAAGATGATGAACATTGTTTTGGATCAACCTTAATTCCTAAAGAAGAAGATGATGGACAGTATTTTGAAGGGTAATTTTGATATTTTCAAAAAATTAAATTGCACATGTCATCTGACAACTGATTAACAGTAGGTACTGGATTGGCATGTTTTGAAAGTTCGGGCACTGAATTATCGCATTTTAAAGTTCAGGAACCAAAGTGGTACTAGGTCCAAAGTATAAGGTACTAATCAAGAATTTTCCCTTTAAATTTTTAATCAAATCTGAATCCAATGATGATATCCAATCAGACCTCGGATGTTCGAGTGTCTTTCTTATCGGCTCCTTATAATACCGATATTTTTTTGGCAACAAAAAGACAGTTTCCATTACTATTATAGTATAAACTGTACAAGCCTATGTTGCAGTGGATTATACCAAATAGTTTTCCCTTACAGGCTAGATATGCTAGGATGGTTCTCCCCTTGCAATGATTGGTCCACCGTTGGGGCATTGGAGGAGGAGTGCTCATCCTACACAACCTGAGTTATTATCAAAGGAACCATCCAAATGGAGTATAATAAACATGGTTGTCATTTAAGGTGAGTGTACAATTGGTACTGTTTTCGGAGGCTGTGTTTGATTGCAATGCAAATAAATTTGCATTAGTGCAAAACTATGACAATGCAAATGGTTTGATTGTAAATTCTGATTTATTTTTGTTTTAAATTTTACCTTATTTTGTTTGATTGAAATAAATTAAGACATGAAGTAGAATAAGGTAAAATCCAAAACAAAATTAAATTGTACTTTGCATTTTCTTCATTTGCATTCCCATGCATTTGTACTAGCTAGTACAAATAAAATTGCATTGCAACCAAACACAGCCGGAAGGGTTAAGGTAGGAGTGTATTTCCTGATCCAGTCGATTACCTCCATTGGAGTGCTTGTTTGGTTGTTGAAAACCAATTTTTTTCAAGAGCAACACATCCTTTGCCTAAATAATAGAGTTAGAGTGCCTTTTAATTGGTTAAGGTCAGAGTCATTTGGGTTTCTTGGGATGGGAATTCCTCCTGAAAGGTGGGTAACCAAGGGTCTGCGAAGAGTTGAGTGTCTTCACCATTGTTTATCTTCTTCAATTTAATAGGTTGGGGTTGAGCTCTTGTAAGGTTTTGTGAGCTTGTTTCCACCAGTAGGAGGTTGTACTATTTGGTTTGGCTTCAAATGGGCTTTTATTTGGGAAGTATTTCTGTCTCGCCATCCTGCTCCTCCAAAGCGCATTTGGAGAATAGATCAATCTCCACACTTGTTTCTCAAAAACTGCCTTATTCATAAGCTTGCTTTGTCTGAACCCTAGGCCGCTAACTAACTTTTGTTGACAGGCTTTGCTCCATTTTATAGCGTGTTTGGCGTTATTGTCTCCCACTTGCCACCAGAAGTTCCTCATTGTTTGGTTTAAAGGAAAATGTAGGAAAAGGAAGGGAAAGATAGGAAAACCTTTACAATCCATGTATAGATTTCCTTACCTTTTCCTGCTTTTTCCTTCAAACCAAACACAGCATAAGTGAATCTTTTTAGCAAGTACGACCGTTGGCATTGTGTAAATGGGGATGGCCTGCTTGAGAAAGAAGCTTGGCATTCCAAGATAGTACTTTTGCTATGATTCTGTCCAGCAAGTGTTGATGTGTAGCTATTTTATCAACTCAAACACCTACCTAAGCACCGAGGTATCTTGTACCTGGCAATGGTTTCTTAACTTTTAAGTGAATGGGTGATAAATCTTTGGCCATGTCTAGGTACATTTCTATTGAATATGATGAATGATTTACCATGATTTATTTTCTGTCCAGAAAGTTATTCCAATAGTGTAAGAATGGAGCTGAGAGTTCTCACTTGACCCATGACTGCCTTGTAGAAGATGATATGGTAATAGCATTTCTACATATTTTTGCTCCCTCAATGATCCCTTCTTGTTCTGCTGTTGTTAACAATTGAGTGAGCACTTCCATGCCTAATATGAAGAGGTATGGAGACAAAGGGTCAGTTTGCCTTAAACCTTTGTTCTACTGGAAGTGACCATGACAACATCCATTCAGTTTAACTGAGAATGTAAGGGTGGAGAGATGCACTGATTTGTGGATCCTTCAGGAACCTAGATTGGAAAGGAGAAATGAGTTTTCCTAGTATTGGTTGTAATCTTGTTACCATCCATTTGGAGATGATATTGTAAAGGACATTGCACAAACTTATAGGCTGGAAGTGTCCTGTCTTAGTTGGATTTTGGACTTTGGGAACAAAAACTATAGAGGTGTTATTCAGCTCTCTTTTGGTAGGTGCTCAATTTGGAAAGAAAAATGAAGAACCATTTGATGGATGTCTTGCCCCAATATTTCTGGTAGAAGATGGCCGTAAAACCATCTGGGCCTGGGGCTTTGTGAAGATGCATTTGATGAACAGAATTTGGGATTTCTTATAGTGGGTTCTTGTAAGAGTTGGATTCCTCCCACTTCTTGGATGGACTTGATCCAGAGATTTCTTGCCCCATGATGGACTTACAATCTTCATGCTCTATCCAAAAGAGCAAGAAATGGAATTGAGAGGCCCGGGATGTATTTATGTTTGGTTTGAAGGAAAATGTAGGAAAATCTTTATAAATCTTATATTGATTTTCCTACCTTTTTCCTTCAAACCAAACATAGCCTTATTGGAAAATGCTGAATTTTCGGGGCATTTTCGTAAATTTACTTGAAAAGAGATCAACAAAGCGAAAAAAGACAAACCAGATTTGATTTTGCTTGTTGTTCTGTACTTCAGTTATCTGTAATCTCGTGTTTCGTAAGTTGATTCCGTCTCAAGCTCCTCTCTTTTGCACCTAACGTTCCTCGTCAAATGATGGATTCTTTCTTTCGATCCTGAAGAAGGGATATCTCCGTATCGCTCTCTTCCGCCCCTCCTCCCAATTTCATTTCTGGCTTTCTGCTCCTCTGTGTTTCCTATAGATCGGTGGATTCATGGAGGCGGTTCAGTTCAAGTTGTTTCTGCCGCTATTTTTCGCGGCTTTTCTACTCTCTCCGTTGATTCATGCCACGGAAGTTAAGTACTGCGGTGAGTTCTTCCTGAATCTGGTATATCTTTCTTCAATTCAGTTTTGAAATTTGAGGCATATAGCGGTTTTCTGCTGGTTATTCAGTTTTGTCTACTTGGATGTTGAAAACCGGTTGATGTGAGAGTAAAAGAGGGGATTTGAATCTGTGATTCTAACAATCTGGGGGTTTTGAAAGAACTAGGCACTGGATGTAATGTTTGTTCGATGGCCGTTTTTGTTTCAGTCGTCCGGTAATCGAATTTGATGAAGAAACATTCGGGTTGCGTTCTTCTTTATGGCCAGCGATAGTCGGTTAATTCGAAGAAATTGTGCTTGCTTTGAGTTTGATTTTGACCTGGATTTAGTTGCCATGGGTTTTTGTTGTTGGCAGAATGGATAGGTAGCTGATGTCTTGTACGACTTTTAAAATGAATGCAGATAATAAAGGCAATTATGCTGTTAAAGTGAGCGGAGTCGAGATGTCGCCGGAGCCGGTGGTGAGAGGCAAGCCTGCGACCTTCAGCATCTCCGCCACCACAGGTGAAGTCTGAACTTATATGCTCGTTCTCCTGGACTTTTGTGGTGGTATCTTTTTCTCCTGGAACTATTATTCAGGCTCAATAATTGCTTTCTTCTTATAAGCTTCTTCTTTCATTGATATAAATACAAGTCGATAGCCTATTCTAATCAAATATTATCACACCTTTATTTTATTTGGTGTTGAATTGAGATTTTATGTATTTAATACACATTATTACAGTGGTTGTCAACCCTTCAAACTCGTTGGGATTGAAGGAGCAGCACACGTTGGCAAATAATGCGATGCAATTCGTTATAATAATGAGATATAACTTCCAGCCATGGTGGCTGTTGATGCATGTTAAGAGATTGTTTGCTAAGAAATCATGCGGTTTATGATTGCCGAGGCTGTAGACGGTTTATGATTCCGTCTACAAAATTTTATGTTTTCTTCCTTTGTAGCTTTAGGCTTGAAAAAAGTAGTTGTTTCTATCAGATAAGGATTTTTTTTTTTATGATACCATTTATTTTTCTAATATTATGACTCTGTTGGATTTTAATTTTGAGTCGTCATACAACAACTCGTGTTTCTTTTCTTCCTTATCCTGTATTGAGTGATTGATTGATAGATTGTATTTGACCGGAATAAAGTTCCCATCCTTTTCCTTAACAGGCTTTAGGACCACAAATGTTTTGGATAGACAATCAAAACAATCCCTATGCTTCTTAGTCTTTTCTTCTTGATATTTCTATTCATGGGAAAAGTTGATAGCGTTATCTTCCCTTAATATTTTTTAAAAAGGCTATGTCAAATTCCACACCTAACTCATTTCACAAGCAGGTTTTAAACCATCATTAATGAGCCAAAATAGCTCTATCATGTTCATCCTCCTTGAATGAAAACAAATTCACTATTGGAAATAAAATTACCTGTTCTTTTCCATGCAGATGAAGTAATCTTTGGAGGGAAACTTGTAATTGAGGTTTCATACTTTGGGGTACATATCCACACTGAGAGCCATGAACTCTGTGCAGAAACATCTTGCCCTATTATAGTGGGTGACTTTGTGCTCTCTCACACCCAAACATTACCAGGATATACTCCCCCGGTAAGTTATCCTCCTTGTGCAGTATTTTAATTTTACCCATCAATCCCTAGCCTCTCCATATCTTTACATTCTTGTTTGCTGGTTCATTTAAACTAAGGGGCTGTTTGATAACAGCTGAAAGGTCTAAACTGAAAAGCTTATTGCTTTGTCTTTTAGTGAATAAGTTTTTAAGGAGGTTGTGTGCTCCTTAATGGCTGAAGCTGAAATTGGCTAGAATATTGTGCCCTTGAATATTTTACTATTAATTATTTTATCCACTAAAAGACAAAGCAATAAGTCCTTCAGTTCAGCAACTTCAGCTGTTATCAAACAGCCCCCAAGTGCCACATTGAATCAACAACTTGTTGATGAAGACTTCTTATGCAGTTTTTCAATTTAAACTTGGCAATCCCTAACCTCTTCATTTCTGTGTTCTTATTTGGTAGTTTATTTAAACTAGGTATTCAATCATCAGCTAGTTGATACAGACATGGTTTAAAATGTCCATAAATTTCCCAATATTTCCATTTCCATGGGTAGTGTGACACACATTTTTACTGGAATAGACACACTGAACACTACCAAAACTATATGGAGTACAAGAGATAATATTTTAACATAAGTTGGTGCAATTTTGTAGATATGTGGAGTAACAATGTTATTGACTGCCTAGTGTACATGATTACCACTTTGAGCCTGCTCAATATTCATTTCGAACATGGACTTAAATATTAGTTCCTATTTGTGTAATAGATTATTTGGTTGATTTATTAGAATAATTTGCATTTTCTATGAGTTCAAATTTTGCTCAAACTCATTCTATTATGTAGTTTTGAATCTTAAGGTTTATAAGACATTGTATTATTTTTCCTAGAACCTTAGTTTCTTAGCTTTGTTTAATGATTTAGAACAAGATAATAATTTAAAATGGTGTGGTTGTACTTCTTTTATCATTTCATAAAACATCATTCTATATTTTTGCATATTTTACAATATTTCCAATGTCTGTAATTTTTACAATATTTCCATATGATATTTCTGACATGTTTTCTATATACATTTCCACCGACACCGACATTTTAAACCTTGGATACAGACTTCTTATGTAGTTTTTCATTTTCAACTATTAATCCCTAACCTCTTTATCACTAAATTCTTATTTGTTGGATAATTTAAACTTCAAACCAAGTTTTGTATTCAATCATTAACTGGTTGATACAGACTTCTAATGCATGAAATTGTCTGTACATTAATTTGCTAAAATAGTTAGGAAGTTAGAATCCCCATCTTAAATTCTTTGTTGTTTGTGCACAAAGAAGAATGTTAGGGTCTGAGAAGAAGGAAAATATGAAGATGAAGAAAAGTGAAAACAGATCATTTGAGTACACATTCAGTCGGCCCCATTTGTTTTATATTTATAATAGGACCATGATATTACATTTACACCCAATACAAGTAAATAAATAAGGGTAAATTACATAGATATGCCCTAAGGTTTGAGCTAAACAAATAAGTATACCCTGTGGTTTCCCCAATTACTTATGTATACCCAGTTAGAAAATCCCACTGTTAAGATTGATGGAATAATCTAAAGGACAAAAATGCCCTCCAATTTTTTTCTTCCTCATTTGAGGAGTTTTGAAGTCCAAAGAACCAGAGAAGTCCACTGATTTCACCCAATCTTTATGGTGCTATGTCATGCCTCATGGAAACCATGGAAAGTGCAAACACACCAAGCAACAACTCCAATCAAAAAGTTCTGGCGGAACCATGGCCTAGTCATTAAGAGTCATTGTGGAGGACTCTTCTGAAAACAATTGTGAATAAACCCTAGTTCATTCTAGGTCAAAGCAGAGAAGAAGGAAGAAGAATGAAAAGAGAAAGAAGGAGAAGAATGTTCGGCCAGACTAGAAGAGAGAACAGTGAAAGTCACACTCACCTAGCCAACCCACTTGACTTTTATTCATAAAACTTAAGTTACAAGAAAGAYAAYKTTDTCCCTCATAGAAGATGGGACACATAACTTAAACTCAGATACAATAGACATTTCACTTTCAATAAGATACACCAGAATGACCAAAATACCCCTGACTCGAGCATT